TTCATTATACTCAGAAAAATATTTATCTATATATTTAGGAATGAAACTCGTGCAAGCTTTTATTGATTTGCTATTACAATATTTAAAAAATTGTCTACTTGCAGTTATGAACTTTACTCGTGTCACATACTGCTACACAGTTTCAATTCTAATTCAAATCAATTCTTAAAATAAAATTAACCTTTGGTTTTTTGTTTTTCTATTTCGATAGAACAGCTATTATTTGAATGAAAATAGTTTTATTTCTGGATACTGATGTCATATGTGATAATGAAAGTTGCATTTTATTTCGAAGTAGTATTAGACAAGTACTACTATATTCCCGTTTTTTCAGTGTGTGAAATGTAATCATGACCATATCTCAGTAAGACTGGCAGAATGAATTTATCATCACTCATAAGCTTGTTAATATGTTTTTTGATTTATATTAAACTCATTTGGAATATATATGGTATAATAAAAAGTCATCTTGTTCCATTGATATCCAAGATTCATAAAAAACTAATATTCAAATTGTGTTTATCCACATGTGAGATTCGTACAATTTTAATGTGCATCACAGTGACAATGAGAAAATTTCTGCCCTGTGTGTTAAAAGAACGTTAGAATCTATGTACGAAGTATGATTAGTATAATGTTAAGAAGATCATTAAAATCGAACAACTGTTCAAAAATTTCTTATTTTCACCGTAAGAAAACATCTGAGTGATATCAATGAGAATGACTGTTTCAAAAACATTCGTTTCGAAAAAAAACACGAAACAATATGAAATATTTTCTATCATCGATAAATTTGACTTCTGGCATTCAGCTCAGTCAAAACACTAAAATAAAATTTATCGCACTGTAGTAAAATTTAGTTCAAAAAACATGTTGAAAAATAAATCAATGATCGAGATTGGATCACTTTGATGCGGCTGAATCTTATCGAAAAAATAGTAATTCGATTTCCTACAACAAAAAATATGTTTAACGTATCAAAGTGTAAACATACGATATTTCTTTTATTAGTGTGAATGTATACTCTTTGTGATTATCTCGTATGAAAAAAAACTGTTAATTCATTTTTGGACAAAGAAAGTCTTTCGGATACATATGGATATGTACCAATAAAATTTACTTTTTCTAATTTGAATGTAGATATTCTCTTCATCCACACCATACCCTATTGTCCAGATTTAATGGTATGCGACATGAATCATATCCTTATGTAAAGAAAAGCAAGAAATAATTGTTTCTCATATATTCACATTCTATTCAGCAGAGAACTAAAACAGCTTAATTTTTCATATAGATCAGTTGAATATATAAGCAAGTAAATCAAGTATTTTCCATGAAAACATTCTATAACTTAATCTTTCTGAAGACATCAAACATAGCTAAATCTCGTTGTATACAGTACAAAATGCATTAGAAGGTTTTATATTATTAGCCAAAGGTTGCTGATATCTACAAGATATGTAATATAAAATAGAATTTTATAAGAAAGTGCGGACAATTTTGCTGATAATAAGTCCCTTCTTTTTGTAAACTTTGTCGTTTTTCAAACTTTAAGATTTTATTAATAAAATCTTAATCAAAATAGATTACAAATCATCCTAACAATAGGTCGATCTAACTCAGAATTTAGCGAATTTTATGGTAATGATAAAATGAAGAAGACTTAAAATAATAACCATCTACATTAGTCGTACTAAAAATTAATTCATATTTTTTATTTTTATTTTATTTGACATTATTTATTAGTTTTGTTAATCCCCAGTAAGATTTTGTATCAAAGAAAGAATTTAAAACACAAAGCACTCAGTTGCTAAGAAAAAACAATAATAAATAAATGCGGAAACTTCGGATTTAAATCCGAGAGTTATGTGTACTTCAAAAAGTGAATCATACAAATCAATCATCCTAGACTGTCTGAATATCAAAATTATACTGTGAAATCTACCATTTAAAATGTTGATTTCTATTACGCGTTGCCAAACCAATAGGACATGGGCCAAATACAGCTCAAGTTTGAACTCTTTCCCTTGATTTACCCTAAGAAAGTCGTTTTTCCTATAACTTCATTTCTATTGGTCACTGCACAACTAATAGTATTTCGATAGAAGTGCAGTACACATTCGAGTTCTACATATCTGAAAATCTCGAAGTATCATCAGTGTGATCGGAAGCTAGAGCTCGATTTGTGGATCAATTAAATCGTGGACCAAAATATAACCTAGTTCTCTTTAATTATCCTTGTCATAGGTGAGTCAACCTTCTTGTTTCTCTATGCTTTATATATGATTTTGTAGCTCTTGAAATTCTCTATCGAATGGTATATAATAATTGGGGTTTTATTTGACTATGATAGGAAAAGTCTTTTACGAAAGCGGCGATGGGTCGATTTTTCCACAGAAAGCTATAGAGAAAAATGGGTATTTTTGAAATAACTCAGGAACGACTCGGCCGATCCTTCTCATCTTCGAACTCGACGGAGATATTGTCAATACTAAGCTGTGTAGAAAGTTTCATCGCAATCTGACTCTGCTGTCAAAAGTTATCATGTAAACAGCCAACCGGACGGACGGACACACTGACTATTCTATAGTGTACTCACTTTTTGAGTAGACAAAACTATGATTCGGTTCAAAACTAATATCAGATTCAGAATCAGCGTTAAAAACTGAGTCGATTTATGTATTTTGTGAATAATTATGAGCAAAAAATTTTTTTCGAAAAATCCCCGTACCCCCCCTCAGGGATGGTCTCGTCAAAAATCACAATTTTTTCGATAACTCAGTCATTTCTTGACGGATCCTTCTCATCTTCGAACTCGACCGAGATATTGTCAAGACTGATCTGTGTAGAAAATTTCATCGCGATCTGACTCTCCTTTCAAAAGTTATCGAATAAACGGACGGCCGGACACACTGACCGATTTTAGTAGTGTACTCACTTTTTGAGTACACAAAAAAACCAAAAAACAAAAATTCATCAACTATTATCCAATATGAAGAAAGAAAAAAAAAACTTTTATTTTTTCTTTTCTTTATAATTTTTCTGATGAATGATGACCATGAATAGTTTTTATTCTTGTGTGATCATTATAAGAATTTTTCATATGTTGTTTGTTGTTTAAGCATTTTTTCACTTTGATATTTAGAAAAAGCTTGTAATAATTCTGGGCAATTTTGCTTTGCTGCTATATCAATAACACTTTCATTTTTATCATTTAACCAAGATGCATCACCTTCATGTCTTTTATCAAAAAAAAAAAAAAAATTAAATTTTATTATTTTCTTATTTAATTTCTAATTAAAAAATATAAACTTACTTGAGAAGAATTCTTAATGGTTCAGCACCATCAAGTCCTAATAAACAACATTCATGTAATGCTGTATTACTTCGTCTACAAAACAAAACAAAATCAATATTTCTTAACATTTCGAATATCAACTTTTATCTGAACAAAAAAAGAAAAAATACACAATCAATCTTTGATTTCAATTGATATTAAAATCTCGATATATACATATATATAGAACTTACGGTCCTTTTTTATCTAATTTAGCTTTTCCATCTATAATAAGTGTTTCTAAACATTCATAATATCCATTACGTATAGTCAATTGTAGAATCGTATAACCTTCTTTATTTTTAATATTAACATCAG